TGTTCGGATTTGTTCCCATCTGAAGTCGTCTGTTTGACGATTAATCGGCGTTTTGTGCGTGATTTAACCAGTGGTGTGGTGTTGTTATCGCTCGTCGTCGTCTAAGCCTATGTGATGCGTGCCATCTCGCCAGTAAATCTAAAAAGCGGGCGAAGAATTTTGGGCGCAATCGCAACATACGGGGGCATTGTAGTGGCAACGCATGCAAAAGCACGTTAAACGTCTCCTTTGGGTTAAAACAGCACCAAGCCTCAGGCAAGTACTTGAGGAGAACGGGTGCGTGAGGCATCTTCATTTCCCCCGGAAAAAACCTGCCCCTATAAGGCTTAGCTCAAGAAGATGCCCCCGTATCTTGTGATAGCGCCGAAATTGGCAAAAGTTTCACTCATTCTTCATTCGGCAATTATGAAATTCGAAATTCCAGAGCATCATCGTCGTATTTTTCACTTTACTAAAGGCAGCTGGGTCAATAATGTTAAGCAGGAACTGAACTTCCCCATGTTTTTTGGGAGCTTGCGTCACCGGGAGAGGAGGGAGGATCATTATGCGAACGGCCATTATGGCCAACATCCCCTCCTAACCTCCCATAATTTCTTATTCTCCCCTCTCTTCTAATCCCTCAGTCCACCTAGTACTAGGCCTTGGGGGGACTAGAATAGAACGAATGAAATTTCTATTCCCCCCGAGGAACCTACCCCACCTTTTAACACAATGACGGCATTGAGACGCGGTTGCGCGTCCCACCCTTGTCATTCCCTTTTAGCGCATAAGCGGCTTATTTTCCCAAATTATTTTTAGTTATTTTGTAGATATACGTTAATCTAGCTTCAAACGCCGTCGTTTATGTACTAGTTGGATATGCGCGCACACAACTGCTGACATGTTTGTTTCGGGCATCGAGATTTGAGGGGAGGCTAGAGTCGGCGACGCTTGCGCGCAGCTTGAGTGAGCCTTCTGAGAGGAAGATAGTGTAAACGCGCACATTCCCATTTTCACACATTTCTAGTGATTTTTCCCACTCTCCAATTCCTTGAACTGACTATATCCCCCTGGTTTACGGCCCCTTATTTTGAGCTAATGTTATTACTCTCTCGCTTAGAGGGCGCCGACATGCTGTCGCCGACTGATCCTCCCTCCCAACTCCCATTGCACTCTTGTTTCGCTACTTTCAGTGTTGAGTTCCGAAAAACGCACCTTGTTGGACAATGAGACGCGGTTGCGCGTCTCAGAGATCGCGCCCGCCAAACTGCCCATGTCCCACGTTGCCAAAAAAGCCAAAATTCGCATTGCCTTCACTGTGTTAACATAAACCATGTGACGACAGGCACTGACATTGCGATGAGACCTTATAGAGCGTTCACAGTTGGCGATCGTACGTGCGATTAGGCGATTAGGCGATGATTCAAAAGAAAAGTATACGTATCGATAAGGCGATTAGGCGATTAGGCGAGTAGGCGAGTAGGCGATGAGAGAAGGATGTATGATTTGTTGCTCCGCCCATTAAGCGATCGCCTACTCGCCTAATCCTACGTATATTTTTCATCGTAGACTAATCGCCCAATCGCCTAATCGCCTAATCGCACATACGATCGCCAACTCTGAACACTCCATGAGAGTAGTTGTGTCTCACCATGCAGCTGTGGTCACTGTTATTCTTTCTACTGCTCGAATCCTATCACATTCCACAAGGATTATGCGTTTCGCATTTTTGTGCATCTCTGCTGTCGGGCCTGTTGTTAGGGGGGGGA